GTGGTTAAGGAGTTGATCCTTTAACCAACTTAAGAAATAAATAATTTAAAATCTTTAAAAAAATTTATAGGTTTTACCTATAGCACATGGAAGCAAGTTAGATGAAAGTGAAATAAAAAGATGCTGTCATGACAGCATTAAATTGCTGTCATGACAGCCCTCCCGAGCCAACTTCCAGGAGAGGCTGTTCAGCCATTCGACCTCCGATCAAAGTGATTTTAAAGCTCACATGTCACATTCAAAGGTTACTATAAGTATACCAAATTTCAAAAAGATCCATCGGTTGAATTAAAAATTGGACATATTACAAGTTTGGTCATTTTTGCTGTCATAACAGCACCTGTAGACTAACTTCCAGAGTGCACCATTTCATTATCCAACCTCCTATCAGAGCAATCCCAAAGCCCACATGTCACTTTTAAATAGTACTATTAGCATACCAAATTTTGGAAAGATCCAGCGGACAGATTGAGTTTCGTGCATGTTGCAACATCATCACTGTTGCTGTCATGACAGCTCCTTCGCACCAAATTTCAAAGTGCTCCATTTCTCCATCTAGTATTCGATCAATGTGATTGTAAAGCCCACATAAATCTTATAAAAGGTTTTGCTTGTGACCCAAATTTTAGAGAAATCCAACGGTCAGATTAAGATTTGAAAACCCGAATGCAAAAATGCAGTTTTTTAGTAAAAACCATTTTCAAAATTATCCAAATCTCATCCTATTGGTCACAAACCTGTGAGAATACTTTGGACATGTCAATAGGACTAAAAACACTTGGTAAAGCATTTAAATAATAGAAAAATCTTTTATACTAAAATTTGACTACCCGAGTGCCATTTCTCAAAATGGACCCTAAACCCCCAAAATGCAGAAATCACACAAGAGTGGCTAAAAACTATTCCAAATATCATGTACACATATGAACACACACGTTAAACATTTTCATTTGGCTCAGAGATCTCTGTGGGGCTCACGTACTCACTATCTGTATCCAAGGTGTATGTTTGCCCATAGCACATGATTTGCAATGCAACCACTTTGCATTTGCTTGTGGAATCACATATATACCAAAATAAATATTTTCTTGTAGTGGAAACTTGGTCTACTAAATAAATCCATCAAAACCATACACTATACCCAAGTTTCCTAGCCACAAGTTTACAAGCAAACAAAAATTTATACACAAGCCATACAATCTACACATACTCACACACATATACATAATCACATCCTACTGGCACCCTAATCCTAAATACATTACAATAGATTTGGTCAAAAGAAAGGGGTAGTAGTTCTTTACAATTCACAAACAACCCCTAGCTCTATTCCTTTCTTCGTCCTCCAATAGTTCCTTCGCCTGGACCTGGAAATATTGAAAAGAAAGAGGTGAGACAACCATAGTCTCAGTAACAGAGAAATCTACATTAATTATTACAAAGTAAGCCATAATCAAATAAACGAATAATAAATTCAACATAATATATAATTTAGCCATTTAAAATACATGAATGCATGACATAGGCCGATATGGCCTTTCATGACCAATAGAATACCCCCTGGCACTCTTTAACTCATAGGTAAACCTTATACCTACTTGTACCTCCACAGGCACAAAACATAATCTAAGGCATGATCTAATCCACCGAACCACCTATGCCCCTTCGACGTGAAACCTGAGCAGTCGAAGCTAACTCCCTCCCAAAGCCAGCCCAAGTTACTCTTTATGTGAAGGCTACCTTGGTCTAGGCACTCAACCTCACACTTTATATGTTGGATTCCTTCCCCCATTGAGAGGTGTCGAACACTCAATACACTAACCACTTTAGTGCCCACAATACATAAGGCAACACCGAGTACTGGCAGTGCGCCATAGAATATCAAAAGTCCACACCTTCTCATTGGTGAACTCCTACTGAGATTATGCCTTTTATTCGTGTCTACCTTTCCTGAGTATTGACTACTTCAACACTCAAAGGTAGTATAACATTTATAAATCTCCCTTAAATGGTTCCTTAGCCTATCTAAGGTACCTTACTCAATTACACATCCTTAAGTGCAACTTATATTCTTTATGATTACAATACATGCAAACAAATTTCATTTCCATAAAAATATTGTTGTTAAACAATTAGAAAACATATTTTCATTATAATCAAAGTAGTACCCCATAACCCTTTATAAAGCACATTTAATCTTTTAAAATATGTAATGCATGATAGCTAGTAATATTTATTCAAAAATAGCTAAAAAAATGATAAGAAATATATATTCTCCTGTTACCTCAATACTTTAGTACCAAAAGGGTTCCTCTTATATAAAATAGGACTTGGCTTGTTCCTTAACTTCTCAATAAGTTTCACCGACAATTCCTACAACATATAAGTGATCTATATCACTTATCATGACAAATAGCATTAATGAAAACTATAACTCATACCATATAACTTGGCTCAATGAGTCATAATCTATCCTAATGATCCATATATTAAACCAACCATTCATATAGTATCACTTAACTACCAAAACTATTTATTAGCCATCATTAGGCTAATTTTCAATTCATATAATTTTTAATCAATTAAAAACCTTCACTTAGTGTCACCAACTTTCACCATTAGTCCTTATAATGAAAACCAAACCTTAATTTAAATCTTATTGGGCTTAAATAGCAAAATTATAACTAAATCAATAGACTTAAACTATTGAGAAGCAAAGCCTAACCTCTTGGGGTTTAATTTGTGCCCAAAACACTTCTTTTTATCCAATTATCCACTCAAAACATTAAATTACTATATAGAAACTCAAAACATCCTCCCTAAGATTCAAAGAAACCAAAGCTGACAAGAATAAAGCCTTTGGGATCAAAATTTAAAAATTTTCTCTTCCAAAAATTGAAGAAAATGAAGAAGGAAGGAAGAAGATTAAAGTACAGTTTACCTATTATATAGCTGAGTTCATAACGGCCGCAAAGCCTTTCAGATCTGAGCCTAAATCCCTCTCTTCCTCTTTTCTTCTTCCTCTCACTCTTATCTCTGAGTTTCTTTCTTTCCTTTGTTCTTTGTCATATTTTGTTGGGAAAATCAGTCTAAAGTCCCATGAAAGCACTTTAAATACGCTAAGATCCCATAAATTTAAGAAATAGCTGCCAGGTCCCTAGGGACCTAAGGGTGAATAAGTCTGAAAATAAAATTACCCATTTGCCCTTTAGCATTAAAAATAAGATTTTGCTTGCACGCGTACGTTTGAGGAAACCCATGATCAGCAATAGTGAAGGTTGCTGCATATCCATGATTGTTGATCACGGTAGGATCATCTTCACTTCCTCACATCCATGATTACAGCCGTTGTCTTCATCTAAGTGAGTTGGGAGTGTTTCTTCTGCAACAGTAGCATTTCATCGGCAGAAAATATATTTTCTAAGTAAACGATTGTTGGCTGTAAACGATTACGTAAATTACCAATTAACAGTAGCATATCCATTGTTAGCTGGGTAAACAATTTCTTGTGCGTTAATGATTTCATTATTGTTTAAGGGTAGGATAATGTTTTCTGGGTAAACCTATGATCATTCAGTTTGCATAGCTGATATATGGAATAATTTGGCGCAACACTATTCCGTTGACAAATATCTGATATGAATATCTCTACATGTTGTCAATAGTGTTTTGTTGTGTTGTCAATATGATATGAATAGTTGTCAATACACTGTATTGTGCAGGCTAATCAATAAGAATGCAAGTACTACTGGAAAACATGTATTATGTTATTTTTTTTCATATAGGACAAGTTATATATTATTCCCAAGCATCTGAGGTAAGCTTGTTTTGTTGAAAAATCTCTGCTATTAATGAACACTACGTCTTATCAATAGTGGATAAATATGTTGTCAATACATATTGTCTAGTTGTCAATATATTATGTATGGTGCAGGTTGACCTGTAAGATGGCAAGTTCTTCAGGAGAACATATATTATGTTTTTTCCAAATAGGGGGCATTTTCAAAATGATGACCAAGAAAGTATGCAATATGTTGGGGGGAGTGTTAGAACTAAAATAATAAAGGAAGGGACAACATATGAAGAGTTGACAAGAATGATATCATCAATTATAGGGAATGAAAGCAATATAATCCAATTAAAATTCACAGTCAATATTGATGCAAGCACACTTGTAGATCTAGTTGATGATGATGGAGTAGAACATCTGATCAAATATGACAAACAAAGTGGACATATGTATGTAGTTACAAATGGGAATGACACCATAGAAGCATTAATGGATTGCCCATTAGAGAACCAACATGTGTAAGTTGTGTAAATTTTTTTGTTAATGCAAATATGTTGAAAAGTACAATTGTAATGTTGTCATTGAATGTAGGATTGATAATTTATTGAGAGTTTCAGATGGATGCTCTTTCTCTCGACCAAGTATCTATCCTAAGATTGAAGACTCGGAATTGGCATGCGCTGTACAAATGGTACCTACACCAATACCTAAAATGAGTTCTATGAAATGGAAGGATTTGTTAGTAGGTAAAGGGTAATTTTTTCCTAATATTGATGCCTTTAGACAAGTATTATACAAGTATAGCATCTCCCACAAGTTTTCATACAAGTTTAAGAAGAATAACAAAGAGAAGATCATTGCATGTTGTAAGGTGGAGGGTTGTGAATGGAACATTACAGCATATTCAATAGGGAAAGATAATGAGATTTAAAGGGTTATAAAATTCAACAATGATCACACCCATAATGCACAAGACAACCTTATTGTGCCACACCTGACAAGGTCAAAATTAACATCATCAATCATAGTTGATGCTCTAAGGTCTAATATAGATAAAGGTGCCAATGAACTTGCAAGAGACTTGTATAGAGAGTATAGTGTGTGATTGAGCTACAGTCAAGCCTATAGGGGAAGAGAAAAAGCATTGCGGGAAATACATGGTCGTGTAAAAGATTTTTATAGCATAATCCCTTGGATTTGTGATTGATTAATGGAAAATGATCCAATGACAGTTGCAAAATGGAATGCCTTAAATAATAGATTTGAGAGGCTATTCATTGCTTATGGATGCTCTATATCTAGTTTTTTAAGAGGTTGTCGAGCCATACTTTATGTAGATGGATGTCACCTAAGCGGTCCATATAAGGGAATAATGCTATCAGCATATACATATGACGCTGACAATGACTTATTTCCAGTAGCATATGCCATTGTTAGTGGGGAAACATTAGAAGATTGGTCTTGGTTTCTTCAAAATGTCAAAGACATAACAAGATCACTGGAGTTAACAATTGTTTCTAATCAAAATAATGCGATTATTGTTGCTGTGCAAGCTATATTTGGTAGTGGTGAGAGACATGCGTTTTGCTACCATCATGTGAAGGAAAATTTTAGCACAGCATTTACAAAAATCAATAGAGGTAAGAGGCATACCTCGAGCAATATGAAAGATGATGCGTTGAAATTACTTGATGCAATTGCCTATGCAAGGCATGAGGCTGAATTTAATATTGCAATAGGGAATCTAAGATTGTTTTGTCCACAGTTGGCACAATGGGTTGAAACCCAAGGGGATATAGATCGATGGGCTCAATACAAATTTAGATATAAACGATGGGATAATATCACAACTAATCTTGCAGAATCCTTTAATGCTTGGATTGTGAAAGAGAGAAAACACAATGTTAATGTCTTGATTCATGAGCATAGAGAGAAATTGGCAAAGAAGATGGTCGCTAGCAAAGTGGCTATGGGAAATTGGAAACACGGTGTCAGGCCTAACGTTGAGGCAAAAGTTATGGAGTAAGTTGTGAGAGTTGAAAATTTACATGCACAAATTTATAGAGAAAATTTATTCTCTATGCAAACTATATCAGTTAATGGACTAATACACTTGAATGTTGATCTTGCAGTACGTACATGCTCTTGTTTAGTATGGCAAATGAGTGGAATACCTTGTGCACATGCTTGTGCAGCAATCAAGCTACTTCATGGCAATGTGTACAATTTTGTGGATGAATATTGCTCAAGAAAAGATATATGCCAGCAGCGTGAAGCCAATAGCCACACATGACTGTCCACGTCCAGAAGCATTGACAGTGACAAATTTATTAACCGAAACCTTTTTAGAGCCACCAATGACTAGAAGGCCTCCTAGTAGACTAAAGAGTAAAAGAAGGGAATCTCAATTCCAAAACAAAAGGGTTTATCATTGTGGAAGACGCCATAAGATTGGTCATACCTCCAAGACTTGCAAGAATCCTAATCCATGCTAGAAAATATTACAAACAAGTGTATTTTTTTATTTATATATATGGAATTTTTTTTTTGTTTACTTTTTGGTTTAATGTACATAATGTATTAGCACTTGTCAATAGCAAATGCGTAAATTGTAAATGAAATGATACCTTATAGTCAATGACTAATGGCAAGTAGTCAATAGGTTCTTGCACCTGGTTGATTTTCTCAAGGATTAACAGCACCAAGTGCATCAACACTTGTCAATGGAGAATTAATACCTTGTCAATATAGTTATATCCACTTGTCAATAGGCAACAGAAGTAGTCAACAGGTTCTTACACCTTGTTGAATTTTAAAGGGAATAACAACACTTACTATTTCAGCACTTGTCAATGTCGAATTACTACCTTGTCAATATAGCTAATAGTACTTGTCAATCTCCAAAGCTAAGCAGTCAATAGGTTCTTGCACCTTGTTGAATTTTAAAGGGAATAACAGCACTTACTACTACAGCACTTGTCAATGTCGAATTACTACCTTGTCAATATAGTTAATAGTACTTGTCAATCTCCAAAGCTAAGCAGTCAACAGGTTCTTGCACCTTGTTGAATTTTAAAGGGAATAACAACACTTACTACTTCAGCACTTGTCAATATCAAATTACTACCTTGTTAATATAGTTAATAGTACTTGTCAATCTCCAAAGCTAAGCAGTCAATAGGTTCTTGCACCTTGTTGAATTTTAAAGGGAATAACAGCACTTACTACTTCAGAACTTGTCAATATCGAATTACTACCTTGTCAATATAGTTAATAGTACTTGTCAATCTTCAAAGCTAAGCAGTCAACAAGTTCTTGCACCTTGTTAAATTTTAAAGGGAATAACAGCACTTACTACTTCAGCACTTGTCAATGTTGAATTACTACCTTATCAATATAGTTAATAGTACTTGTCAATCTCCAAAGCTAAGCAGTCAACTGGTTCATTTAACTAGCTGATTTTCCAAGGAAATAACAGCACTTACTACCTCAGCACTTGTCAATGGCGAATTACAACCTTATCAATATAATTATTACTACTTATCAATGGTGAATTATTAACTTGTTAATGTACTTATTGACACTTGTTAATAAAGTGATAACAACTTGTTGACATGCAATTAATAAAACAAACTGTCTGCCACATTTACAAACTTGTAATCAGCTTTTATAACCAGCGTTATCTAAGTTAACTACACAAAATGAGCTAACTATATAAAGGGATATGATGATCAATAAAATTATATCCTAAAGTTCTATAAAAAATCTTCTATTTTCTTTTCCTTGTCGCTTGGGATCCTTCTAACAAGGACATGGCTTCGGGCTCCTTCATATTATTATGATGACTCAGTAGCCACCACAAGAGTTCTACCTTCTTCTTATAGAGATCATCCTGCACTATAGGTAAGTCTTATAAGGGACAACAACAAATATCTAGTACATGAAAGAGGGAAAATGTAAAGCAAAGAATGCATACGTCAGAGTATTTTGGCATCATATACCCATTCTTATCCACAACATTGTCCTACGATTGTAACCATGTCATAACGTGCACCCCACAAGTATGGCTAAAAACAAAATAAAAAACATAACATAAAATTAATTTTTCACATGTAAATATAAGCTTAATGATATATAAACATAAAAGGAACTCACGTATCAGTTTGCACATGAACTTTAGCCCATATAATGTCCGTGCTAACGTCATCCTCAAACAATTGTGGCTTGACTGCACGAAGTAGAGAGTGAAAGCAATTCCTCTGCAAACTCAAGACTTGCAATGTTAGTAATGTTGATTTACAACTAATCAAGAAGACAATGACAAATATAAATGTTGGTAATGTTGAGTGACAAGTATAGACATACGCATCCTCTTGCCATCATTTCTTTAGAATCCAATTGTCCTTTCTTCTTCTTCTTCTTCTCCTTTCCCTTGCCCTTCTTCTCAACATTCTCTTCTTCTTCCTCTTCCTGCTATCTTTGGAAATACTCCCTTTTACTAACCAATGAATCTAACACATAGAAGTTCTTGCTCTTAGTCTCAAAGACATAGCAAAACCAGTGACTATGGAAAAGAGTTGGGCCAAAAATGAAATCACAATCAGTAATGTTATATCCAACAAACTTAGGAAATATTTCTCCCTTGTTGTCATCTACCATCCATTTCAAAGGGTTGCTGATCATTTTTAGTATGAACTCAAAACCAAAGATATGTCTCTGGACTTTCCCTTCATTTTCCTTTTGGTCACCTACCAAAGTTCGGGCAACTATTGACATCACCCTATCACGAATACATCTCTTTCCACTAAAACATTGTAGCTCTACACGAGTCAAGTAGTAGCTATACAAATCTACAATGATCCTGTTGAAGAAGAAGGAAAAAATAAATAGATTGTCACTAATATTTTAGTCAGTCAATTTTTAGGCATGGTATAAGGACTTACTTGTCTCCCTCATCTTCCTCACATGGTGTTGTGCATATTTGAAATAATTGCTCCTTCTCATCCATTTTTCTCTTCTTTCCAACATTAGTTCTAACCCATAGAGATTTCATAGTAGATCTTTTATATCTTTTTGATCTTATAGGATGTTTACTTGATTGTTCTTTTCCTCTCCCTTCCTCATCCTAGGCAGAATCTTTCCCTCCTACACCTGCCTCCTTGTCCTCTTCCTCTTTTGAATCATCATTGTCGCCCTTTTCTTTAGGAGAACCTTGTTGTTTATCATCTTTTTCTTTATCTTCTTCCCCTTCTAATTTTTCTTCTTCATTCTCTTCCTCTTTTGATTGTTCAGCTCCTTCTTCGTTGCATTCTTCCTCTTCTAATTTTTCTTCTTCATTCTCTTTCTCTTTTGATTGCTCAGCTCCTTCTTCGTTATATTCTTCCTCTTTTAATTTTTCTTCTTCATTTTTTTCCTCTGAAGCTGTCCCCTCATCAACAAGTCCTTCCTCTTCTATTTTTTCATCTTCATTCTTTCCCTCAGAATTTGTCCCTTTATCATCATCTTCTTCCTCTTGTGAATTTTCACCTTCTTCCTCTCTTGAGCCTTGTCTAAGCAGCATTGATTGTAAGCTCATTAACTGCTTTCCAATGTCAGACACAAACGATAGCACTTTTCCATACAGCCTCCTTACTTCTTGCAAGACAATTTCTGATTCAGTGCATAAATAAGACCATATATATCTGTCCATTGTACTCTATTTTATACATACCGGGTGAACAAATGCCGATTCTTGATACACCTTGGTAGATGAACAACCATGTACAGTAGTTGGCTCATGCAAGATGCCTCGATTGCTCTTTTTCTCTAGCTTTATTCTTGTATTCACTTTATCATCGTCCCAATATTTTAGAGCATCTACGGCTTTTGGACAACCTTGGCCAACTGGAAAATTCTGGAAGCCCCATACCTAAACTTGACAAATCAGTATAAACATAAAACTTTTACATGGAAAACTTTGAAAGGCTATCACTTTGGATTAATGTAAATTGAACACACACTTACCATTAGAAACTAGATACATCCCTCAACGTTCTTCCTCGTCCTTCCCTTCCCTTTGCTCAGCTGTTTCTTGTAGTCTTCTACCTCCTTGCAAAGTTCATTAAAAATGAACATACCCCAATCATTTGCGCTTTGTTTCTTTTGTGTCTCATAAACGACCTTCAATATACGGTCACTAACCTCAAGACTTACGGTTGGTAATAGCAAGGTTCCCAATGCATACATTACAAAAAGTAACTCAAATTTAGCTACCTCCTTTCCAATATAATCATTTCAGCTATTTCCTTGTAAGGCATTTTATAGTAAGTATTTCTCAAATTCTTAAAAGCTCTATCATTCACATTGACATCCCCAGTAATCTGCTTACCCTTATTACGTAAGCCCATCAAGTCATTCACATCCTTGGCCTTCATTTGCTTGATTTTTCCCCTTATGCATATTTCACGAGTTGGGGGGTCAAAGGCACGCATCAACTCTCCACAAATATCTCTTTGAATTTTTTTACAAGACACATCAAGAAGCCTATGGAATCCTAGCTTCTCAACCCTTTTTTGTAATTTCTCATCTTTCTTAACATATTTTGCCACTTCACCAAATTGGCTAGGAGAGCAGCGCGTATGAAATGGTACGGTATATCTCTTCACTGTTGTCTTTGCTTTATCTTTCATCTTCCTTTATCTAGAAAACAAATAGAAAAGTTCAATTACATGTGTTGAAAAGAGATATATGCATACTAGTCATTACTAAGTTCCAACTCACAGATTTCTGCACTAGCATTGTTTATTAATAAGAAAAAAACACAAGTCACAGAGGCATGACGGTTCACTAGTTATGACAGTTCACTAGTCAATGGAGCATACTGTTGTTGTCAATAGAGTTTATGGTTGTAGTCATTGAAGTAATTATTTGTCATTCATGGAATAAATGATTCTGGTTAATATAGCATATGGTTATTGTCAACAAAGAAAGCAGTTGTCGTCAATGGAGAAATTCGTCCATATTTAAAATTACATGCAACAAAGATTC